TATATATATATATATATATATATATATGTGTGTGTGTGTGTGTGTGTGTGTGTGTGTGTGAGGGGGGACTAAGATTTCTATCAACCAGATTCCCATCACAATGTAAAACAATAATGTAGAATTGGTGGTAGCGCAGGTCAAACCATCACTCTTGGTATCAATCTATAATCATTGCACCATATAATAATGAGAAATGCATTTAATTAAGTGTAACTCTGGTAAAATGTTACCAGATTTCTATCACAATGCGAAACAATAACGTGGGTTTAGTGTTACTGGAGGCAAAAGATTCCGATTTTATATCAATATTTCACCATTACTCTCCATTTGATTTACCCAGGTTTACGTAGTTTATTCAATAGTTGATGTCTCGTGACAACTCCCCATTTGAAAAACAAGTCATAAAAGTTAGAAAGTGATCCGTTTTACGTTACCATGGGCAGGTTACCAATAACGACAAAAAGGAATTTTATAATTAGAAACTATCAATCTATAATCATTGCACATCTTTTAAGCATCGTGTTTGCATCATGTTTTAAGTATAAGCTCTCCGCAATTGCGATTACATTCATTAGACAACAATGACATTCGAAATGAGAGCTCTATGTTTGCTTTTATACATGTCTCTAGCAGGGATTTAATATTCAGGCAACACCGAATGTTCTTTTTACGTCATTTACACCATCTTCACTAATTAAACTGCATCGTTCGCGGATCATTAAGCAACATTCATGCAACGTGACGTACTGTTTTACTAGCTTCCTCGCGATGTATGAAGTTTCCGTGAACAGCGTTGCTGAACTATATTAATTTATCAGTGGCCTCCAAAGCGACGTTCATCTGCGCACATTTAGTGACTTTCCTTTTGTCTAATTCCGGTAGAAGTTCAGATCAAAGCGTCACCGGGGGTCGGGTGGAAATTGCAGAGACAGAGAAACTGACTGCCGCTTCAAACTTTTTCGATATCTTCTAAAAGGACGCTGTTAGAAAACGGCACGTTACATAGTATAGCAAAAATAAATACTTGGAATGATTAAGTTGTGCATAGTGCATAGTGCGAGATTAATGTAGAAACTGTAGTCATCATTATTCAGATTTCCAACTTATCTTTATATGTGTCTTGTGAAGTAATTTTTCATACACTTTTAATACGTAAGTATAGGAAGTTGTACTAGGTGTTACCAGAAAAGTTAAGAAAAATTTGTACTCTAAAGTAGTTATATGCTAAGTCTACGTATTGACCACATGTCGGTCCTCTAAAAGCGCCAGCGACGGCCTTCCAACCA